CTCAGATTGTTGTCATAAGTGTGTGACGTCGGGTAGAACCCTGCAGGGAGTCTTTCCCTAATTCACGTCTACATTGTGTGAATGATGTAAATACTCCGATACGAGGAGGCGACAACATCAACATATCAACACTCACACACGGCTCCACCGCAGCGGGAGGTGGAGGGTGCGTGTTATTTACGGAGCCGCCTTAGAGGACAGACCGCACATTGAAGTAGTGAATACATCACATGTGGCCAGAGCTGTCAACGACACACAGATACCGACGTCACCCTTTAATTCACTAAGGTACAATTAGGAGGATGTACTTAGGGTCTCTGGTCAGTTTCATGTAGGATGCAGTGATCTCTCACTAGTCCCTGCACATAATCACGTGGTGTGTTGTTATCACGTGTAGCACCGCTCCATAACGTGTGAACACTGGGCCTGTTTCTCCAGAGGAAGCAGGACAGTAAGGCCCAGGCGTCCAGGTTCCCCAAGGCGAAGGACGAAGGCTGGTTCCTGATCGTGGGCGAGGTGGACCGCAGGGAGCTGCTGGCTGTCAAACGGGTGGGATACGTGCGCCAGCGCACAGCCGTGTCCGTGGCCTTCTACACCCCCGAGAGGACTGGAAAGTAAGCAGCTGTACCCGGAGGAAGGGTTAAGGGGACGCACCACAGGAACAGGAAACACAACACGTGCTCCTTCCCACCAGTAGAAGAAAGCATCCAAAAGACACTTTTAATTCTTTGTCTAAATGTGGAGTTCACCAAAGGTTACCTTTAGAAAATGACAATTTGCATATTTCCATGTTGCATAATACAGAACTTGTAATAAAAAGGATAACTGCCTTAATGTCGGTAATGAACCGGAGAAGTGGTGACATATATTAGTTCGTTACCATCTTTAACATCCCTCAGACTACCAAACCTCCCATATTATATTCTGAAGGCTCGCACAGTGGGGAAGTTCCACCATGTGCACTTTGGGGGGCAGGTGCCCAAACCAAAAGGGCACTCATCGCCAAAATGATTCAGATATAAAAACATTAATACTAAAATGAATAAATAAAAAAAACAGTAGGATATATTCCCTGTCCTTCTGCTTTTGGAGTCTTTTCTTCGCATTATGCTGCAAATTTTAGTAAATAAGATGAATCAATTCCACGAACACCGCCCTTACCTTTTTCTTTTTGTCTGATGCTGCAGCCGTTTGGCGCTCCGCACTGCACGAGCACTAAGCGGAGGGGTGGGGGTAAAAAGAGGGGGAGGGGCTTGTGAGCGCCGCGCAGCCAAATTGGGGTCAAATTCTCACAATAATTCTAATAAATGCCGGTCAGATATCAAAAGACATTTGGAGGGAATTGATGACAGAGTAATTTCTACTTCATGGTGAATGAAGAAAGAAGTGTGCTCCAGCAGAAGGGGCACTTTTCTCATCCAGGGCAAAGGGGCAGGTGCTTGAGCCCCGCCAGGGGTCTTTGTGTGCACGTGCCTGAGTAGTTCATACAGCTTTCATAATCTGATCCATGCAGCATTCTATTACTCAAAACATTGGCATCTGCTTTAATTGGCTCTAATTTACTTTAATAAAACTGCAGACCGCTCCGGCTGATCCACGTGCTTTGTGCTTCCAGGTGCATCTACACTCTGTACCTGATGAGTGACAGCTACCTGGGGCTGGACCAGCAGTATGACATCCCCCTGAACGTGACAGCAGCCAGCATCACGGCTCAGGTCAACACCGAGGTGTCTGACTCCAAACGTCTGTGATGACCGATGAGGTCTTCTTCTGCGAAGGCTCCCTCTCTCTGAAATAAAGCTTTCACATTCATGACAATCACTCTGTGTTTGGTTTCAAATGGTGTCAAACCTTCAGAGGACGAACACTAGAAGGGGGGGGGGGGTTGTCCCCGGCTGCTGGTGACGGCGTGGGACACAGAGCGGGCTGTGGAACACTACATGCTGGAGTTGATGTCACCATGTCGTGGAACTACGTTTGGGTTAAATGGGCTCCGGGCGCTTTGGTGAGTCCCTTTGAAAGTTCACTGAGACGTTGATCCAGAAAGGCCAACCTGCAGCCTGTTTGCTCGCCAGCAGCGAGAGCGTTGCCTCGGCGTGCAAGCGGGGCAAAGCTGAGCGCTTCCTTCACCCAGCTGGGTGAAACATGCTTCTGTGCTACAGCTTCACTCAGCATCACTAAACGGCCACATCTGTGCTGCCAAATAAATCTCCCTAGAAAGCCTCAGAAGTGTCCCCAGCTGAAGACCAGAAATGAGACCAGACCTGAGTGTGTTTAATATGTTCATCTGAGTTTACAGGTCAAAGGTCACTGTTCCCTCACAAAATGTGTTTGTGGCTGTAAACCTGTAAAACCTGTAAAAATAATGGATTCCCTAATTATGACAATGTCTACTAGGATGAAATAATAACGTGTTGACTTTACCCTGACATCATTCTGCAGGTATGTGTATGTGAACCCGTATGAGGATGAACGCGCACAGACACACACACAGCAGCACAGCAGCTTAACAAAGTCAGATCAATGTCAGAACTTTACCAGGGGCTCCCTTAGAGCCCGGTGAATGCCTCACGTCCTGCAGTTTATCGATGACGCGTGTATGAGACGCTGTTGTCTGTCTTCCAAACAGTAAGTTTCACACGCCAGAGCCCCTACCGTCTGCGTGTCCCTTGCGTGTCTTTTCACACTTCCTTGCGTGCGTCGACCCATTTTTCTAGACTAAAAAGCGTCAAAAGCGGCGCAGGCCTCACGCAAGGCTGTGATTGTTCTGCTTAAATGAAGCCTTTTTGAACCATTAATTGAAACGAGTCCATCGACACGACTGCGCGAAAAGCCGCAGTTGCAGAAACATGCCAGCGCCTTAATGGGTGGGGTCAGCAGGGTGGGGTCAGCAGGGTGGGGTCAGCAGGGTGGGGTCGATGGACGCGTTGATGCACAGCAGCTCTTTACCATCATCAATCACCTTTTTACATCTAGTTTTGGTCTCCACCAACACCTGATACAAATATCCTTTTTAGTTTTTGAATAACTTTTTTAAATGTACACATTTTAATATGTGAACACACATCCGTCCTAATTTACCTTTTTTACGTGTGCAATGACTTACGGGCCTCATGGCAACTGTCTCTGCTACTCCAGGTCCGGGGATCTGAACTTGACTCCCTCTCGAACCGCTGGGGCCGATGTTCTCCAACTCAGCGCTCTTATGAACGCCGTTCGGCCTCTTAGGACCGACTGTTTAACGGCTGTTCTCCTGCCAAACACTTTTCAACTTCAGCCTCCAAAGTTGTAGTTTTGAATATTTGCTGCTACCGCTAAGATCTGCTGCTCGTCTCGGAGAAGCCCTCGCGGCTCCTGTTTTCGGCAGCGGCCAGTTATGGGCCCCATCCATGGCCAGGGCCTGCGGATTCGGCGGTTGTTACTCGGTCCTCCGGGGATCGCGGCTTCCATGGCCACTGTCCAGCTGTCTATCAACCGCCGAGTTTTCTGGTGTTTACCACCCACTTTATACTGTTTCCCAAACAACCCAACTCTGAGAGCTTATGGTGACAGCCTCACTCCATCTATGGGCTGAGCCTCCATTGGATGGACACAGGCCCTTGAGTGGCACCGGCTAAGCGGTCACCCATACTCCCCGTTTCCCAGCGTAACCCGTGCCAACCCCCAGCGGCCACATTCGGACCCCCGCTGGAGCAGCACCTAAGGAACCGGAGCACACTTAACGCGGTCAGCACAGCGACCAGAAGGCACTGGCCGCCACATCCGCACATGCTGTCTCGATGGGTGACCACCCCGGCCCCGGTGGGTGATGGGTAAGTGCGCCAGAGGGGGGAAAAGGGCCCGACGGGGGCCACGTACCGCATCGGACATCCTGTGTTCTGCATTGACAATGGACCCACTGAGCTGACTTTACTGTACAGTTTTGGATATTGTTTAAAATATAATAAAATATGTAAAAATATTGATTTAAAATCAATTCAAAGATTATCATTTTTACTGACTGCATTTAATTTTCTCAAACACTCTATATCAGTATCATGGAAATATAGATGTGCATAGAGGAGCAAAACATGCATCAAGTGAAAATAGAGTGAAACCTTTTATGGATCTGGTTTAAAGGGGGGGGACACTTCCAGCACAATTAGCCCGTTTACCGTAACGCTCTGAATGGAGGGGCATTTAGTTTTGAAATCCACAAGACCGCAGACACACGCACGTGCACGCCCGCACCGGTGGGCGCACTTCCACTAGCGTCGGAAAATGTGTCGCTGCAGGGCGTCGCGTTAAAGGGGGTGAGGAGAAAGGTTTGAGGCGTCATGTTGTGTTTTGGAGCTGCAGGTGCAAGTGTTGTTACGGTCAGAGCCGTAGAGTCATAACCATAATATCCCACCGTAGTACCATAACATGTGATAAATGCCTTGAACATTAAATGTTTATTCTCATTTCAAGAAAAGTGTCAAGTTATCACATCTGAGAACCTGTACGAATGACAGATACAATTAAAACAATCATCAAAAGTATGAGATAAGCTGCTGTCTACACGGAACTTTCTGCTTGCACTTATTTCCATTCCTCGTAATAATAAAGTCATATTAAATATGTAGTTCAAGTTGTCCGAAAGAAGAAGCCGGACCCGGTCCTCCCTGACCGCTCGGACACTTCAGCAGCAGTATGAGACCGGCATGTTGTCCATCATCATCATCATCATCATCATCATCATCATCATCATATCATATCATATGTCGTCATCCTTTCTTTTAGGGTCGGCAGAGTGTGAGCTTGAGTTCCGACGGGATAAAAACCTTGTTAAGACTTGCGGTGTGTGTGTCTGTGTGTGTGTGTGTGTGTGTGTGTGTGTGTGTGTGTGTGTGTGTGTGTGTGTTTCTTTGTGGGGGGGGGGGGGGGGTTCCAGCAGCCAATCCCCGTTCCTTCTGGGGGGTGTGGGGGGGCAGTGACACGGAGCAGCCAATAGATGGGTCACCAGCGGATCCGCTCGTCCAATAGCAGGCCTTTGCCGGCGGTGGGCGGGTGAAGCCTCTGCGTGTTCCGCTGTAGCGGAACCACACGGATGGAGGGTCTGTGAATGCGCGGCGCTTGGGACGTTCTGCCGGGACACGCTGAGGCCCAACCGGCGTCGGTAGCTAACGAATAAGAGAAGCACAGAAGTTCCGCCTGTGCATGTGTGAGGACATTCAAACAGGTGTCCTTATTAGTCCTCCGTCCCCCATAATGTCTCTGCCCCCCCTACAGGGCCCACTGACCCCAGCGGCTGCGACCTTTACACCCTCCGGGCGGCATGCGGGGTCCGGGTGAGCGCTGAGTCCCCCGACGGGCCAAACGCGCGGAGGAGTGCGGGGACCGAACCGGCGGAGGACCGGAGGGACAGACCCGACCGCCGGTCCCGCGCGCGGAGCCGCCTCCGCCCCGATGCTATGAGACACCGGCACGCGCCACCATGAAGGAGAAGTCGAAGAACGCGGCGCGGACCCGGCGGGAGAAGGAGAACAGCGAGTTCTACGAGCTGGCCAAGCTGCTGCCGCTGCCGTCCGCCATCACCTCGCAGCTGGACAAAGCGTCCATCATCCGGCTGACCACCAGCTACCTGAAGATGCGGGTTGTCTTCCCCGAAGGTAGGAGACACACGCGGGGACAGCGTCCACCACCCTGGTGGCCCCGGTGCATAGAATTACGGGACTATGCCGTTAATCGTATAATAAAGTATAATAAATAGGATCGATATTTTCATTCTCAACCTGCCGGTTCTCTTTTATCAGCTGGACAATATAATTGATAATAATTGTAGTTATTTGCCGCTTGTATTTTATTACTATTCAGTATTTTATCTGTTTTAAATGCGACAGTTTGAATAATACATGTTTTTAATTGTATGTTGTTATTTATAGTTAAATACTATTCCCTACCCGGTCAATTGTAATTTAAAGTTTGATTTCTTGTCCTAGTTTTAAGGAAATTAAAAATTGAAAAAATTAAAAAAGTTGAAAATATCTGACTGACCTTTGAACCCTTTTAAAAGCCTTTCACACCTTCTGGAAATACGGGCAGTTTATTCACATGTATTCTGTAGAAATACGCCGGAGAGTTTTCGAGCGATGGAAATAGAAACTTTTTGAATGATTTATTTTTCACAACCTCATAGGCCACCTCACCTGATAGGAAAACATGGCTGTCTTATAATATCCTACATTCTATATAAAAATGACTGAATGAATTCATCCAGTCAGCAGCCGACGTCTCCCGTGTCCCCCGGCCCTCCTGTCTGTGTCCCCTCCGGCCCCCGGATGGCAGATTATGAGATGAGGCTCCTTCCTGCGTGACTGCTGCAGGGCCGCGCATATTAGTGTGTGCACTGTGATCCCTCCACATATGGAGCTCCTTGTAGCAGTAATGCAGGCAGGGACTCACACAAAGGGACCGCGGGGCCTCACTGCTCCATGGGGCCGTGTGATTGTTACCACGCTCACTGTCAACATGGAGCTCACACAGGACGGAAGCCACCTCATGCCTCTTCATTACATTTCAATATTTCACATTTATATTGTATTTGTTACATCCATGGCGATGTCTCTTGAATCTCCTCCGAAAGTTCAACCAGATCTGAGTGCATGAACACGACCTGGTTTCCAGCTTGAAATCAGCTAAAAATCGAAATATTATTATTGGCCCATGCGAGTGAAAATACGATCTGCCGATTCTTATATGCATGTAATACGATGAAAGAGATGCTGGCTTGTGAGAATAGATGTTTTATGACACATTTTGTGTAGAACCCGGATTGAATCGGACTAATGGGGTCTCTGGGGCCACAGACGGTTCAGGACTCGTTGCTGCCGCTCAGACACATTGTTGAGGCCATGTTTAGTCTGGAGACACGCGTCTCTGCATAAATGAATTGTGTTCTCAGTGGCTCAATTCTGCACAGGTCTGGTTCTCATGTTGTGTTGAACACGCACACACACTCCACCACTGGCCACATGTGATGACTCAGGTGAAAGAAGCCCTTCTGAGGGGGCCGCAGAGGTTTCTGTGTATGTATTTGGAGTGTATAGCACTTTCTGCGTGTGTTTGGGGAGTTGGGGTGGGGGGGGGGGGGGTAATTTATGACACACATAGTGGTCACTGGGGACCCTTGACCCATGTTGTCCATCCTGGGTTAGATTACATGACACCCCACACCACAAGCAGAGGGAGGCTGGATCAGCGTTTGCTCCACTTTACTGCGTATTTAAATACATTCACATCTTTCTGACTGAACAGCAGCTTGTTGGACCAGAACTGAAATAAAAAATCCCAGCTCCAGGTTCCTCAGGTGGATAATTGTTTAAATATGCAGCACTTTAAAATAATAATCGCAGTGCTGTTGTCAACTGAGCCTGTTTATTATTCCACATGGAGATTTTCTTTTCTCTGTTACGTCACTGTAAGTTCTCTGCTGATAAATTTAGCATAAATTTACTATGATGAATAAATTAACATTGCTATAAATATTATTATTATATATATATATTATATATAAATATATATATATATATATATATATATGAATATATAATATATATTACATATATATTATATATAATATATATTATATATTATACATATATATGTGTATATATATATATATATATATATTATATATCATTTTTTCCCCACTGAAACGCTGAATCACCAGACATAGAAGAAATGATTAAAGAGAAATAATAATATAAATAATAACAATATTATATTAATAATGGAACAAATTGCCCCATGGTTGTACATTTGAAGCATTTGATGTGCGTAATAATAAAGTAACGAGAATAACAGACTACTTAAATATAATGTTAGAAGTACCTTCCCATGAGGTAGAATCTGAGCCGCAGGCCGGATGTGCACGGCATGTAGCTGCAGGTGTGAATCGCGCTCACGCGGCTGCTGCGGGACGCACGCGCCGCGTGTGTCACTGCGGTATTTGCGACGAACGGATTTTCAATTTCTTCCGTCTCGTCTGATTTTTAACCAATCGAATTGCGAAACAGGAACCTCGAATATCGAAGTGATTTGGCTTAATCGAATTAATACATATACACATTATTCATGGGTCAATTTTATTCCGTGGAAAACAAAAAGAGAAAGCGCGTTTTCTTTGCAAAAACACGGCCCTCGTGCAGTCAAAATGAGTTAAATAATGAAATAATAACAGTAACAGTTCCCGGAGGCCCGCGGGGCCACGTGAGGACTAATTGAAACATGAACAGCGGCCTCAGAGCCAGATGACGATATCACCAGTCTACCTATTTATTACTTTATATCTGGGCCCAGTTTATTTACCTCCGTGTCCGATGCGCGCGACAATCACCTCGTGTCTTTCTGCCGCGCGGAGGAGCGCGCGCGACCTGCATCTCAATGGGTCCCGTTGGCCGCCGTGTTACTTTCTCCTGGGACTCTTGTGACCGCGGGATCATATATCTTCAGACTGCATACAAGTGTGATATTCAGTTATAATTATAAACCAAACATTGTCCCTGAAGACATGTGTGTAAAAGAAAAGATAATATTAAATTGTAAAAACATCTATATTTGTGTTTTTTAAATATGCAATTTACCAAGTAATATTTGTAAAATTTACATTTGTATTTAGTTATTTCCTAGGAAATAAATAAAGTTTTATATATATATATATATATATATATATATATATATATATATATATATGTATATATATCACATTTATATATATCACATTTATATATATCATATTATATATATGTATCATATTTTTCTTTTTGTGAAACACTGAATACGTTTACTAGACTTAAAGAGAACGAGTTGGGGAATCCGTGCTAAATAATGACAAAAATAATCAAGCTGATATTAATAATTAAACAAATGACTAAGCTGTACGCATTCGATGTGAGTAATAATAATACTCACTATACTCACAATAATAATACTAAGTAATGAGCTTACAATTATGAAGTAATAATAACAACAACATACAATTAAAAACATGTATTATTCAAGTGTTAATGCTGCTGTAATAAAATGACTAACTATGAATCCACTTCTTTTATTAATAGCAGTCATACTGAGCAGGCTGGCTAGAATCTCTCTTTGTTGCTTCCCTTCAGCTTTAATTGTTAACGATGACATTTATCTTCCCTGCCGGTGTGACTTGTTTGCCAGGCCTTGGGGAGTCCTGGGGTCATGTGAGCCGCAGCTCTTTGGACGGAGTCCACCAGGAGCTCGGGGCCCATCTCCTGCAGGTAGGATCAGATCTCACAGAACATGTGGGCTTTGGGTTCTTCACGTGAATGAGACATAACAACGTTACTTATAAGGCCCTTAAATGTTTGACTAAAGACTAAAGCCACAGGAAATGTTTAACACTGAGCTCTTGATATTTATGGATTAAATAATGTATGTATTATTATATGCAGGTAGGTGCGTTAGTGCTGCGTGTGTGGTTTGCTGCCGTCTGCCTCCTCCTGCTTCATTCTCGTGCTTTCAGAATGAAATGAGCTGAACGCATTCCTGGTCACGCACACAGCCTCAGTCCGTCCTAAAGCCCCTCGAACAGCAACGGCAACACAAAGGAGGAGGGCTGCAGGGCTGCAAAACCAGAGGGCAGCGGTCCGATGAAACATTAGTGAACATGCTCTGTGGGCCGAAGATTCTGATTTTTCATACAACTTTCACCTTGTTAAATCAACGCAAGAAAGAATAAGGTTGCGTTTTTAGTTGATGCAAATAGGGTGGACTGAACATGGTGACCACTCGTAAATACATTTTGATGCAGAATGCAGAAAGGGAATCTTCCAGGAGGAGACTCCATTTGAATCATCAGCCGTGCATTTCAATAACATCGAGCAGCATTGGTGTCAAACTCATTACAGGTAACTTCCATCTCAAATGGGCCACACCGGTGACGTCGTAGGCCGGAGGTCGACATATGAGAATGTGGCGAATGGGGAATACTACAAAGCAATAATGGGTTTTAACAGGTCAAAGATTAGCACAGTCCACCATGTACATACTGTAGGGCGAACAGGGCGTTTGTGGAATTTATTCAGAGCTACATGGCCGTGTTATTTTTGTTCATTTCAAGCGTTCTTTAGAATCGCTCCGCATGATGCTGTTGAACAGTCAGTCTGCTGCACGCTTCCCAATGATGTGTAATCACAACTACAAGACCGTACAGTTTATACACGCTGTCCATCAAAATGGACTCAATACAATAACATTCATTTAATTAAAGACTAATTCAATTCTGCCTTTTGTTGCTACCAGATGAATTAATCTCCGTTGCTGCTGTTTTTTTCAGACGTTAGATGGCTTCATCTTTGTTGTCGCTCCGGATGGAAAAATCATGTACATCTCAGAAACGGCATCGGTCCACTTGGGGCTGTCGCAGGTTGGTTTGGCGATGTGTCGTTTGTTGATCCCCTTTGGCGTGTTGGCCCCCGATGAGTCACAGTCCAATGTTCATTTCAACAGGTGGAGCTGACCGGAAACAGCATTTATGAATACATCCATCCATCCGACCACGACGAGATGACCGCCGTGCTCACGGCTCACCAGCCGTACCACTCACACTTTGTGCACGGTGAGAGCGTTGTCCTACGTGTGACACAGAGCCATCAAGCCGTTATACATTTTATAACATGCAGCTTCTTGCAACTCTGTGCAGAGTATGAGATGGAACGCTCCTTCTTCCTGAGGATGAAATGTGTCCTTGCTAAAAGAAATGCTGGTCTCACTTGTGGAGGCTACAAGGTAGGAGGGCTGGCGCTGTCTTCACTTTCTCTGTTACAAAGGAGAAGATCACTCGTGGCCAATGTTTAGTTGTTGCAATACTGCTTTATCAATATTAGTAATATTTTTTACAATTTTTTAGTTCTTTCCACCTTTAACATGCTGACAAACGCCTAAAATATTGAAAAAAACTCCTCTTTTCAATACCATTGATTATGTTTCACGGGTTTTTCAGACCGTTTATGAGATTTAAATGGGTTTGTACTACTACTAACTCCTAATACTACCTAACTACTGCTATGTATAATACTTATACAGCTTAGGGCTGCATGCTATACCGGTTGAAATGGTATAGCGGTGTAAGATGTCTGTACGGTATGAATATCTCACGTGCCGTTCATACCGGTGTTACGCCGTAACAACTGACGTTGCTCTTTGGCGGGCGGCAGAATATATTTTTACACGTCAACGCGGATCCCGGAGCGCGTAACGGTCCGAGCTACTCGTCTTATGTGTGTTGAGATTAAGTCATGGTTGGAACTTTATAATGACAACGAATAACCCGCAACAAACACTCTTTAACAGGGTAAAACTATTTCCAACATTAATAATTCTACATTTAGAAAAACTAGAAAATGTGTTGCAATGCTGAAAGCTGAAATGAATTTGAATGAATTTGCTGAAAATACAGAAATGGTAGAAGCTGAAATAAAAAATAAAAAACTGCTGAAAATGCAGTAATATAAAATACTGAAATTTATTTCAAAATATTGCTGAAAATACAGAAATGACAAAAGCTGAGATAGATTTAAATTGTAGTAATATATATATGTGGTAGTATTGGTTGTAGTTGTAATTGTGGTACTGGTAGTACGCGTAGCCGGCAGTCGATGAATGAATGTGTTTACTTGAATAAGCAATACGTCCCATAGTGGGATATGGATCTTTGGGCCTAATACAACTGATACTACTATTACTAAAACAGTAGTCCTACTATACTAGTTATACTACTAATATTTCTACTACTAAAATGACTACTACTACTCGTAATACTAAAATACTACTATTACTACTCGTAGTAGTAATACTACAATTGATAGTACTACTAGTAGATAGATGCCTGTTGACCGTGCTAGATGTGTGCATGTATGAAAGGACTGGAAGCACGTAGCAACGCCTGGTGCATCTTGTCTCCTGTAAAAGGGACTTTTCTGCCCTGTTTGTAGTGACTAGTTGAGGGTCGGTTCTCAGCACCATCATACATGAAATGGCTTCGTGGTCTGGGTGGATGTGTGGGCTGGACAGGGTTGGAGAGGCTCATGGACCCGAAGCCTTTGATGGTTTCATGTGATCCGCAGCAGCAGATGGCGTTTTCTACCTTCTCATGGAAACGTTTGACTGCTGACTGTGATCTAGTTTAAAGCTGCGTGACCTGCAAGCAAGTAGTCCTAGAGTACAGTTTAACGTATATTAGATATATATATATATATATATATATATATATATATCGATTGATCGATAGATATCTACAGATATACTACATAGATGCAAAGCTTGAAGCATTGACATATTTTCCCAACAGAATATGTTCCCACTTATCTGGTTCCCAGTTGCTATTTTCCCTTTTATGTGGGAACCCTTCAAGCCCAGAAGGGCGTTTCTAGTGCGGAGGAGTTTGTAGCATCACACGTGTCTTCTGTTTGGTTCAGAGGGGCATTCTTCACACAAAGAACCGGTAACCTGGAGTACCACTAGGGCTGAGAAAGTATCTTCAAATAGGAGAGACAAACCCTCTTTATTTAGTCATTATTCATGCTGCGACTGAGTGATCTGGTTCATTCTGTGTCCATCTGTGAACTCTTGGCCTAGGTGATCCACTGCAGTGGCTACCTGAAGATCCGTCAGTACAGCCTGGACATGTCCCCGTTTGACGGCTGCTACCAGAACGTGGGGCTGGTGGCCGTCGGACACTCGCTGCCGCCCAGCGCGGTCACGGAGATCAAACTGCACAGCAACATGTTCATGTTCAGAGCCAGCCTGGACATGAAGCTCATCTTCCTCGACTCCCGGTACGCGTCCTCTGCACCAAGTGCTCACCACATGCAGCTTGTGTGTGTCGATGTGGGAAGGCTTGATGATCCCTGTGAATGTGTGTGTGTGTTGCTCAGGGTTGCAGAGCTGACAGGCTACGAGCCTCAGGATCTCATCGAGAAGACTCTCTATCATCATGTCCACAGCTGTGACTCCTTCCATCTGAGATGTGCTCATCACTTGTGTGAGTTAGGTTTGTTTTTCTTTTCTACCAGATATCTCTCTGCACGCAGACACACACACACACACACACACACACACACACACACAGAGTGAGAGAGCTGCGTGGAATTTGTATGAAGTCAGCATGTCACTGCTTCCTTGGCTCTTTATTATTGGTATTCTATTGCATAAAATAATCGACTGAGTTGACAGTATTAGTCACTTGTGAATATGTTAAGAGCATATTTGCAGATGATATACATTGTTAGCTGCGTTCTGATTGGACAGGCCGTCCACTCAGAAAGGAACTTTTGATGCAACTGCCTGCTGTGTTTGGAAGTGTGTCCTTGAGTGCTGTGATGTTCGTATACTTGTTTTTCGTCAGTATCCGTTGCTGTAACTTCCCGGCCCTTGTGTTCTAGTGCTGGTCAAAGGTCAGGTCACCACAAAGTACTACCGCTTCCTGGCCAAGCAGGGCGGCTGGGTCTGGGTTCAGAGCTATGCAACGATTGTCCACAACAGCCGCTCATCGCGGCCTCACTGCATCGTCAGTGTCAACTACGTCCTCACGTGAGTATCTGTCTCTGCACCTGAGAACGTAATGCTTCCCAGCATCATGACTAAACGAGTGTGTGTCTGTCAATCATTTGAGGAAACATCATGATTCTCTGACTCTTTTTACTGCTTCTCTTAAATTGGAGCCCAGGAGTCTTCTACTTTCTCTGAGCGGGTGTCAACAACTGTTTTAGCTTTTGACTTTTTAGGTTGCTCCTTTTTGTTTTACAAGTTGGAAGATTGACAAATGAAAACCACTACAATCCAACATACGCCATCTCCATCTCCATCGACGAGCTGCTGGTGCTTCTCCTGTGGTACCGCTCTTATTCTGTGTGATACAACTAAGAAACCAACAAACCTGTGCTGACTTTCAACTGGTAAAAGTGAAAGCACCTCTTTCATGAGTGTCTTCAGCAGGCCTGGCTTTGTGTTTCACACGCAGTGTAGAGAAGTCTGCAGCTATGGAGAGTCACACCGACCAGCTGATGTTTCTGTTTTACGAGGTCTTTGGCCGAACAGTAAAGGCAGCACGTCAGCGAGCAGGACGAGTATTCCATAAGATGGCATCTACCGTAAATATGACGCGTGATGCACCCGGAGTGTTTCAGGCTGACCCTCCAGCAGCTTACACACACACACCCTGCTGGCGAAAGGTCTGAGTGTCCAAACTGGAAACAAAGTCCCCTTGGTTGAATTGGTTGACAGCTGATTGAATGACGGGCAGCTCAGGGGCCGGGGGGGGGTCGGCTCACATCTGTGCTAATAATATAAGATAATGAGTGTTGGAGCTAAAGAGTTATGCAAACAGTTGCTGGGAAGCAACTAACGGGAGGAAACATGACACGCGCTACTTTGTGGAAACCTGTTTGGCAGAATCTGGCAATGAAGACAGATGGTCAAGTCATATTCCTGTTTTAGTCTTTTGTTCTGAGTTAGAAACACATGAAGTGTGATAATGACACAACAGGAACTCGTATGGAGGCGGACATTGCTGTTGGGCCTCAGCGTCTGCTCACAGTGTTTAGTTGGCTCATGTGCTCATGTGCTTGCTGTTGCCTGGTGCGGTTTGTCCAAGACTGGCAGAATGTGTATAAACAGGAAGGAGCTGAAGCATGTCTGACTGGGCTTAGAACAGCACTGGGCCGCTCATGTCCGTCACAAGCTGCTACCTGAATCATCACTGCAGTCAGGGATCCCATGAAGGCTCCATTAGGCTGGCGGCCTTCACAGAGCAGCTTGGCACACAATCCTCTCCCTACACCACGTCTGCGTCCCGATGAGCGCTTCTGGGCTCCAGCCTGAGGGGCCTCGTCTCCCTCCTTGTGGTACGGCTGCAAGCCTCTGGGAAACGTGTATGTGGCAGTTTTTAGGGTCAATTATGATCGTGTACCACGATTATCTCATTTCACAGTTAAAACTCGCCCCTGCTTTTCAGTTCTGATCCTTTACAGCAAAGTAAGGCGTTACCACAGTGCTTCTCCTTTCACCATCAAAGTGTTTTAATCCAAATGAAAAGAAACAGTTACGCTGCGTTCGTGTTAGACGACACATCTGGACATAAAACCAGGACATTAAATACGGTTTGTATTTACCTTTTGGTACATACAGCAGAGACAGGTGTGCCATCATTCACCCATTCATACTGTGATGACAGGAGCTACTCCGTGACACCTGTCCATCAATAGCTAACATTCACGCGCCGTAGTCACAGCTGGGGCTTGGTGTCTCGCCCAAGGACCCACCGAGAATGACCACCGATCCTCTGAGTGAAGGACAAGCGGGGCCCCACTGAGCCACAGGGGCACCACGACCATCCAGGCTCGTTTTCTACATTCTAGATGTCTGCCGCCCCATTGGGGAAAAGACTGTCCGCAGGCTGCGCAGCAGCGGGACAGTGGAGACATTGTCCCTGGGTTTGATATGCAGCAGACATTGATGTCACAGTTCCCCCCAATGAGCAGCGTGGCTGCACGGATTGGGCCCCACAGTGAAGGTGACCATGAGGCCGACATTGTGTGTGGGCAGGAGACACCCTTTGTGTCTAACCCCCAGTAGCTTGGTGTACTCAGCCGTTGATAAGGACGCTGATAAGCCTACTTCACCTGCATGTGAACTCCCACTGTGTGTTTAGCTCTGATAACCTGTGCACCTCCTGTCCCACCTGACGGGGATTTAGCAATAGAGGCATGTCTGCTGCAGAAAGCACCTACCTGCCTTTTACTGTTACACTGTGTTTAAACCAGTATTTGAGTTTTTTATCTTCTTTTGAGAACAAAGGAAGAAAAAACGTTTTACCAAAAATACCTGTTGGAGTGTGGACGAGGCCACTAGAAGGTTTTTATGGTCCATCCAGAGTGTTTGTTCGTGCTCTTTGTCATAGAATCTCCCAGTGTTTGGAACTGTTCCCTCATTTAGTGAGTCAAATGGTCCCATCCACCGCTGTGCTCGTCCATGTCCATAACCCTCAATATGTGGACAATTAAAAATCCTCGCATTCTAACATCCCCACATTCTAACAGCCTCACATTCTAACATCCCCACATTCTAACAGCCTCGCATTCTAACATCCTCGCATTCTAACATCCTCACATTCTAACAGCCTCGCATTCTAACATCCCCACATTCTAACAGCCTCACATTCTAACATCCTCGCATTCTAACAGCCTCGCATTCTAACATCCCCACATTCTAACAGCCTCACATTCTAACATCCCCACATTCTAACAGCCTCACATTCTAACATCCCCACATTCTAACATCCCCACATTCTAACATCCTCGCATTCTAACAGCCTCACATTCTAACAGCCTCACATTCTAACAGCCTCACGTTCTAACATCCCCACATTCTAACAGCCTCACGTTCTAACATCCCCACATTCTAACATCCCCACATTCTAACATCCTTGCATTCTAATAGCCTCGCATTCTAGCAGCCTCGCATTCTAGCAGCCTCACATTCTAGCAGCCTCACATTCTAACATCCTCACGTTCTAACATTCCCTCATTCTAACATCCTCGCATTCTAATAGCCTCGCATTCTAGCAGCCTCGCATTCTAGCAGCCTCACATTCTAGCAGCCTCGCATTCTAACAGCCTCACATTCTAACAGCCTCACATTCTAACATCCCCACATTCTAACAGCCTCACATTCTAACAGCCTTGCATTCTAACATCCTCGCATTCTAACATCCCTGCATTCTAACATCCTCGCATTCTAACATCCCTGCATTCTAGCAGCCTCGCATTCTAACAGCCTCGCATTTTAACAGCCTCGCATTCTAACATCCCCACATTCTAACAGCCTCACATTCTAACAGCCTCGCATTCTAACATCCTCGCATTCTAACATCCCTGCATTCTAACATCCTCGCATTCTAACATCCCTGCATTCTAGCAGCCTCGCATTCTAACAGCCTCGCATTTTAACAGCCTCGCATTCTAACAGCCTCGCCTTCTAACATCCTCGCATTCTAACATCCTCGCGTTTTAACAGCCTCACATTCTAACAGTCTCAAATTCTAGCAGCCTCGCATTCTAGCAGCCTCGCATTCTAGCAGCATCGCATTCTAATAGCCCCCGCATTCTAGCAGCCTCGCATTCTAATAGCCTCGCATTCTAGCAGCCTCGCATTCTAGCAGCCTCGCATTCTAGCAGCCTCACATTCTAGCAGCCTCACATTCCAACAGCCTCGCATTCTCGCAGCCTCGCATTCTAATAGCCTTGCATTCTAACAGCCTCGCATTCTAACATCCTTGCATTCTAACATCCTCGCATTCTAACAGTCTCAAATTGTAACAGCCTCGCATTCTAACATCCTCGCATCTAACAGCCTCGCATTCTAACAGCCTCGCATTCTAGCAGCCTCGCATTCTAACAGCCTCGCATTCTAATAGCCTCGCATTCTAACATCCTCGCATTCTAGCAGCCTCGCATTCTAGCAGCCTCAAATTCTAACAGTCTCAAATTCTAACAGCCTTGCATCTAACAGCCTCGCATTCTAACAGCCTCGCATTCTAGCAGCCTCGCATTCTAGCAGCCTCGCATTCTAACATCCTCGCATCTAACAGCCTCGCATTCTAGCAGCCTCGCATTCTAGCAGCCTCGCATTCTAACAGCCTCGCATTGTAACATCAGTCACTTTTTTTTGGTCAACAAACCCTTTCCAGGTTTCCTCGTCACACGTGGGGAGATCTGTCAAACACTTAGTGAGGAATCAATCCCGTTTCCCCGCAGTGAGACATCCCAGCTACTCCTCCGGGCCGGCTTTAGTCAGACATAGCCTTTAATCTCCCCGTGTGTTTGATTGGACAGCTCTCCCTCTATGGAGTGTTTGTTGAAGGCCTTGCTGCAGCCTCAAATTCTAACAGTCTCACATTCTAACAGCCTAACATTCTAACAGCCTCGCATTCTAGCAGCCTCGCATTCTAATAGCCCCCGCATTTTAGCAGCCTCGCATTCTAATAGCCTCGCATTCTAGCAACCTCACATTCCAACAGCCTCGCATTCTAGCAGCCTCGCATTCTAATAGCCTCGCATTCTAGCAGCCTTGCATTCTAACAGCCTCGCATTCTAACAGCCTCGCATTCTAATATCCTTGCATTCTAACATCCTCGCATTCTAACAGCCTCGCATTCTAACAGCCTCACATTCTAACAGTCTCAAATTGTAACAGCCTCGCATTCTAACATCCTCGCATCTAACAGCCTCGCATTCTAACAGCCTCGCATTCTAGCAGCCTCGCATTCTAACAGCCTCGCATTCTAGCAGCCTCGCATTCTAACATCCTCGCATTCTAGCAGCCTCGCATTCTAGCAGCCTCAAATTCTAGCAGCCTCAAATTCTAACAGCCTCGCATTCTAACATCCTCGCATCTAACAGCCTGGCATTCTAGCAGCCTCGCATTCTAGCAGCCTCGCATTCTAACAGCCTCGCATTCTAACAGCCTCGCATTCTAGCAGCCTGGCATTCTAACAGCCTCGCATTCTAGCAGCCTCGAATTCTAGCAGCCTCGCATTCTAACAGCCTCGCATTCTAACAGCCTCGCATTCTAGCAGCCTGGCATTCTAGCAGCCTCGCATTCTAACAGCCTCGCATTGTAACATCAGTCACTTTTTTTTGGTCAACAAACCCTTTCCAGGTTTCCTCGTCACACGTGGGGAGATCTGTCAAACACTTAGTGAGGAATCAATCCCGTTTCCCCGCAGTGAGACATCCCAGCTACTCCTCCGGGCCGGCTTTAGTCAGACATAGCCTTTAATCTCCCCGTGTGTTTGATTGGACAGCTCTCCCTCTATGGAGTGTTTGTTGAAGGCCTTGCTGCAATCCTTCTGCTAAAACAAGTTTCCCAACAGCCGTTCCAGCCGCTTCAACAACCCCCCAAAGACACACACACACACACACACAGACACACACACACACAGACAGGAACACAAATGATGAGGCTCTAATTGATGAGCACTCACTTAGGTACACAAGGCTGTTTGTGTTCTTTAACAGGCAGCCTTCCAGGGGACTGGAATCCATGTGGTGTAATTACACAGCGTATTCAGTAATATCCAGTAATAGTAGTATGAATACAGCACATGGACATTGTGTTTGTGTTTTCAGGGAGACAGAGTATAAAGGCCTGCAGCTCTCTCTGGACCAGGCCACGTCCAAGGCCTCCTTCCCCTACAGCAGCACCACCGCCAGCCTGACGGAGAACAGCAGGACTCCCAAGAGCAGAGTCTCCCGGCCCAAGACCAAAGCTAGGCTCTCGCCATACATTCAGGTGAGGATGTAATGTCTTACTGTCTTACGTAGTTAGATAGCTTCGTTTTGTGTCCTCCTTCCAGGTGATGCTAACTTCAATCTATACATTCATTTAGTAAATGATGACCAATAAAGAGGCTGGAAGAGGAATAAATAGCTTGTTTTGTTTGTCTAGCAGTCAGCTGTGGCTCATAACATCCCGTCCTGTCCCCCGCTACACGTTTCCCTGTGCAGTATCCTAGTTTCCAGACAGAGCGCTCGGAATCAGACCAGGACAGTCCGTGGGGCAGCAGCCCGCTGACAGACTCCGCCTCCCCTCAGCTGCTGGAGCCGAGCGAGGGCCCCGATGCCTCCTGTGTGTACAGGCAGTTCCCCGACCCCCGCTCGCTCTGCTACAGCCTGTCTGAAGAGCACCGTCACGGCGATGGCTACACACACCTGCACGCACACGGTCAGGCCCTGACCTGCGAGCGAAGCCGGTGTGAGGCGGGCCGATATTTCCTAGGAGCTCCTCCCCCCGGCAGGGACACGTGGAGGGGCACCGCTCGGTCAGTCCTGCCGCCGAGCAAGAGCTCTGAGGGATGTGACATCGGCACCATCCACAGCTACAACGGTGAGGAATAAGGAGTCTGTGCTGATTCCTCCGGTACAGGAAACACATCCAACTAGCATGTGGTGAAGGGTGCCCCGCCCCGCCTCTTCAAAATGATTCTTCCTTTCTCTGCACGTCCGGTGACTTACAGCTTCTGCACCTACGAGCCCAGAAAACACGATAGCGGGGCTGATTAGACAAAGTGAGAGCTATTAACACTGTGAAATGTGCAATGTAACAGCCATCAGAGGGAGGCAGGACCGCGCTGCACAGAGACCACGATTAAGTCTAGTGCACCTCCACCAGCCCAGCGGAGCCTCAAGAGGCGCTGAAACACTCAGTGCTGCATGTTTCTGGAGAATGACCGACACTGTCCATCGGATGCTGATTATTTAACAATCCTTTGTCTCGACAGACGGGAATGTTTCCCATCAGATTTGGGCCGCGGCTTCTGACCCAAACTAATTACTCTAATTTAGATATTAGTTTTTTTAACCACGTGAGCTTCAGAAACGTTCCTCATCGTTAACAAGGAGCAAGTCTTCTACAATGAGCTGTTCACCGTGTGGGAGCAAATAGTAAAAAATTGGATCCTAGTTGGATAATAGTTTATATTAAGGATTTAATGACTTGTTATGTATTATTGAAATGATTAATACTAAAACAGCAACTTGCTAAAAAATCTGGAAAACAAATGTGAATTACAACTATAAACCTTCAACAGCAGCCACAAATTGTTGAGAAATGTAAAATCCCAGTATATAATGCATAAGTATTTCATCTTGCCTGCTTTCACCGGTCCTTCTGCAGGCCGGGGCCACTGGGACGAGGACAGCGCGCTCAGCTCTCCTGATGGAGGCTCGGCCAGCGACTCGGGGGATCGCTACCAGGCGGACCACTATCGCTGTAGCCCGCAGGAACCCAGCAAGATCGAGACTCTGATCCGGGCCACGCAGCAGATGATCAAGGAAGAAGAAAGTCGATTTCAGCTGCGCAAAGGCCCTCCGGGGGCCCCGCTGGGGCCGGCCAACGGGCTGCCCAAGGGCCCCGGACCATGCTTCGCTCCTGAATACACTCAAGGGCCACTGCAGACTGTAGTGTGTCGAGGTTTGAGTCAGGGAATCAGTCTGGCTTCTGGTCCCGCCCCCCCGTGCAGGCTCAGCAGTCCAGGTCCTGATCGCCTCCACAAGTCGAAGGACTACCTCCAGGCAGACCTCCAGGCAGACCTGTCCCCCCTTTCTCTTCCATTGCACCACCCGTTTGGGCGGTCCGGTCCGTGCTCGGCTTCCCCCATCTTGGACCCAGCCCTTTACCCGCCCCACACCTACCTGGACAAGCACAAAGCCTACTCCCTGACAGGATACGCTCTGGAGAACCTCTGTGACCCAGAGAGCCTCCGGGGCTACTGCTCCTCCGCCGGCATGGGCCCCACCCACTACGACGGGACCCCTCACCTCCGCATGCCGGCAGAGCAGACCGCCGGACATAAAGGCCCCTCGGTCATCATCAGCAACGGCAGCTAACACCCAACACACAACGCCGAGCCGGCTGATTCTGGATGCCGTTTCGCCTGTTTTTTCATCAAAGAGAATCGCCGCCTCACTGCAGAGCTAAACCGTAGCTGCAACTTCCCCCCAAAATGTTGCTCATATGTCAATTTGTGAAGAGGGCAAAGGAATGTAGGAGTATGTTTCTCCAAACGGGTGCTGTGCTAGAATTCTGGGGAGCACAACAAGGTCCCATAGTCAGAGCAGTGCCTTTAGTTCTGGTAAGTAAGGTCATTGTATGGTGGAAACATTGTGTTACTTTCAGTGTTTCCTTCCATCGCCGCACCAGTCAAACGCACCGGACACACTTTCTAATTGAACTGAATGAGAAAATGTGTCCAAACGTTTCCCTGTTCAGGTTCATATTTGTAATATTAACTTTTGTTATTTAGTGTCAGATTACAGCAGAAGTCATTTAAGTCCTATAGAACAGGTCTATACTTTTGTTTTATATGACATCTATCTTTAGTCATTTCTCTCCTTACATGGTCAAGTGTTTACAATAGTGCATCGTTTTTCAAAAAAGGGCCGACCCAATCCTAAAGGGTAAGGTGATCCCAACAGGAAAGATATATTTTATTATGACATTGTTAGTAGGAGGGGGCTTTGTCACATTAACTTACGCATGTGTAGTTCGGGGGCTCTGCCTGAAACAACTGATGCTGAAGTTACGGGGACTCCAAAATATACATAAAAACAGCTCTATACTTGATCCGCTTCCAGTTTCTCCTTGACTGATGTCGCTGCTGTACTAGTACTGTAACACTGTACTGTGCACTAAAGCACTATAAAAGTCACCCTTTTCTCTTTAAAAGGGGGGAAGACATTTCTTTGGCCAATCAGTACAATGAAAAAAAACAGTAAAAACAGGGCTTGTCCTCTCACATCCGCCCCAGTGTGAGTGTGTAACCTTTTGCACTATGAAAGATGAAGAGTTGTCCCTGTTGGAGGAGGAGAGATGAAGAGGTGGACTATGGTTCACAGAGCACAGGTTGGCCTTGTGCTCTTTAAACTGCACAGACTAATATGCAAAGCCATTCACTGGATCTTTCATTTCTCTCAACTGTTGGTGTCTTGCGGGAAAGTCAATGCCGTAAAGAAAGAGGCAGACCTGTGATGACAAGCAGGCACGCGATAATTCTCATTGTACAGGTGGGAAGTCTGCTGCTTTAATATCGGATACAGTATTTGATTGGCAGGACGAACCACCTGATTCTCATTCTCATTCTGCTGCGTTCTCATAATCTACCAGAAAGCTGAGTATCATTTGAGGACATTTCATCATTTATGAGACACGTTCTGTTCCCACGACGATATCTAAATGACTGCAGGAAGACAAATAGACCATATGCAATTCAACCCATTGCAATGCAGGTGAGGCAGCTTCATCCTGAAGCAACTGTTAATTATTGTTACGTGGGCATGTTTTCTCCTCCTCAGTCATCAGATGAACCTATATTTATACACGTTTGGATTGATCTTTTTTCATTTTGTCAAAGCTTGCAATGTGCTCTGTCCCCTAAAGTTATTTATGGTGTTCTGTAAATATAATGAGAAACTCCCGACACATTTAAGCACATGGACAAAAAATGTATTTATTGACTAAATGTTTCTTTATGATTTTTGAAATATAGCTGCAATCAAATCCAGTTTGCTTGTGTGTTGAGTGTGTTTTTGACTGAAGCCAATATTCAGAGGACAAAATAAAATCATTTTGCAGGGATGTGTTTTATTTTTTATTATTTTTATAACAAACATGGCTGTTGTAACCAAGCGGCCGGTGCGGACAAATGTTCTACTTGAGTTTGCGGCCGCTAAACTCCATATTAAATTTTCTTCAGCAAAGTACTCAGAGTACAAACTACTTTTTAACCGATTAACTGTTTTATTTCATCGTCAGTAGCAGACATTCGATTTCTCAGACGAACAATATAGAAAAATTACAGGCAATTTTACGGTGGCCGACACGTGCAAACGCGCTGCAAACGGCAAAACAAACCCAACAGTAAAGAGAAAAATGCGGCAATCACAAAAACGACCGGAGCACACGCGACGCAAACAAAGACAAACGCTGCAAGTTCACTCAAAACACAACGCAAGTGGACCTGTGGGATAGAGGATGGACTGTGGGAGATCGACCATAGTAACGACGGAGAAGAAAGTTAATGTCCTTTATGTCTCTTTTAAACACTTGGTCATAATCATCATTCTTTCTTTTCATAACTTTCTTCTCCTTCCATTTCACTTTCATTTACACCGCTGTGTATTTTACCTCCAGAAACATTTGTGTGCTGCAGCAGCGAGTTGGCCTTTGCTTATATTACGTCTAAGTATAATTGAATAATTGTATAATCTGATTTGCATTAAAAAAAAAAGAAATATGACGATTTGAATATTATTTTAAATTGTGGTCACACTCAATAGTAGAGCTGCAACTAACAATTATTTTGATAATCGATTAATTGGTCGATTATTTCTTTGATTAATCGATGAATCGGATTAAAAAAACAGCATTAAAAAGCTTTAATTTCCAATCCTTTATTCTAACACAGAACTGCAAATTCACACTGCAAAAATACTTCAGAAAGTACAGGTTGCTCCTTGAACATAATAATTTATAAAAAAAATAAAAGGACAATATAAATCAGAAACAGGATTTGTTTTAACGTCAGAACTTGTTCTCTCTACTACACTCAGACGCACCCCCCATGTTCACAAGCTTATTCATTAAATGATTAACATCGTTGTAGTGCAAGTTAAGTAAATGTATACACGCCATCTAAGTACAGCTAAAAAACAACCAAGTGCTATGAGATGAATTTAAAATGGAATTTGTAAATTAATGCATTAGAGGCTTCTTCGTTAGCCGCGCTGGTTTAATAGATCACCGTGTCTCCCTTTACAGGCGTAACATCAACTACCGTATAACACACAGTATGTGCGCACGCGCACTAGACTACCGTATATGACAGCATTAAAACATACAACACATACACATATATGTGTCAACAATAACCGATATATGACAAAGCACGAAATACAAGACAACAGATTCAAAAATGAATGGTCCAAAAGAGGCGACGCACTGGTTTCACTTCCTGGTTGTAAAGTCTTGCGTGTGTTGCAGAGCGATTCACCTCCAGAACAACAGGTGGAGTCACGTGTTTTGTTGAAGACGACCTAGAGAGTCACGTCTTTGTGTGTGGAAGTCACTGGTGGGTTTATTTATTGATCATAGACTTTATTGCCCCGTGCATCCACACTGCTGCTTTTCATCACGGACACATTTGTCCCGTATTTTCCTCCACGACTTTGTTCCCCTCGTTTGTGGAGATCTCCCTCCATGAATCAGAGGCCATCCGGCGTCCTCATAGTCCGCCAATGACGGCTTGTACAAGCGCTCATATTACGCATTTCTTCCCACAAAAGCTCTTCAATCTGATCCGTTTTCTCGTAAACGTTCTTCCTTTTAATAACGGCCGTATTGTGCTGTGAAAACGGAGACGTGAGACTCCGTAAAGGACGTAGTCAGCAGACCAATCACAGCCTTGTGCTGCAGGAGGCTGCGTCGCGCACGCAAAGGACACGCAAGGGACACGCAAGGGACACGCAAAGGACACGCAAGGGACACGCAAGAGAGTCTTGCATCTGCGTGTCCGTTGCGTCGCTCTGAAAACGCAGAAGCATAAACTAGGCTTTAGTAATGCGTCAATGTGACTCACAACAACTGCTGGCTCCTCTTTCCTCTACGACGGCGCGGCGCTTTTACTTTTGCTCCCCGCGCATCTCCGCAACTCGTTGAGGGACATAATAATCGCGCGACACAACGAATCGATAATGAAATCCGTTGGCAGCGCTTTTAATAATCAAATTTTATCGATTTCAGCGATTCGTTTTGGCAGCGCTACTCAATAGCAACTTTTGATTTTAAAAGCAGCGATGTAGATTACATGGTGTGAGTAAAATGACACACTTGAAGAAAATACTCATAAAAGTACAAGTACCCAAAAAAGTCGACTTAATTACAGTAACGTGTGTATTTGTAATTTGTTACTTCCACCTCTGCACAAAAACATGGTTTGAAAGCTTGTCCAAATAGTTCACAACTAAAACATCTTTCCGTTATCACAGTAGCATGTTGAGCACATGAGTAAAGTGGCTACCTGCTAGCTAGCTACCTACCTGGGTCCTTCTTAGGGGCGGAGGGGGGCCTGAGGCCTCAGGCGCTGCACAGCTTCCTCAACTAACCAGTGCCGCCTCAAAGGAATGGCCGCTTGCCTAGTTACCTAGCTAGCCGATTAGCTAGCCCTAGCCTAGCTAGCTAGGTAACGCTACACTGGTTACGGAAAATGAGCCAAACATTCAGTTGCTAAATTTGACTAATTTACTACAATTTACTGACTGGAGTCAGTTGAGTAGTAAGTCAGTTTGACTATGGTTGCTATTTACCAACGGCACACACATTAAAATAGCCGGCGCTCTGATCATCCTTCCTTGTTGTCTCCTTGTAGATAAGTCAGCATCTCACTGTACTAATGTGAGTGTGAATGAAAGTAGTGTGAAGCTCGTTGAGTAGTTTAAAGTGGTTAAATGCTTCCCCATTCATCATTATGATTCACTATACATAAAATAATATGTTATCAATCCATATAGGAAATGATTGGGCTTATAATATGTGCACAAGTATTTAGAATGTGGTGAAATCGCATAAACACATTTTGGATTAACTTTTAATTGAAGATCACAAAGTCTCAAGAATCACTTATTATAGCCATAAACTAGTATTTCATGATCAATACTGTAAGAGACATTAATTGATCACAGGTATAAGACACTTAACATTTAAACAAATATTCTATGCACATTCAATCGCTCCATGAGGGGCGATAAAGAGATCTACTTCACTTTTTAAACCCACATTTCGATGAATTCAAAGAGGCACTTAATGGAAGGAAAACATTGTTTAACAGGCTTTTATTTGTTTTACAGTTTACATTCACATTGAAGATGCTTCAATGTTTTACTACATGTGGGACACCATTTAACAAAAAATCACATCTTATGTTTCTATTTTGTTTCACAGGTGATGTAATTAAACACGTATATTTGGTTTATTGTCATAACAGTCAAACATAGTTTTTTCGTTTTTATTTTAAGAATAGCTGTTTCATTTCGACTAAGGCTGTCAGGTTGTGATCCAATTTAATGAATTTTGGATAGCTTTCAGCTGTAAGCACACTCAAATTTGCACAGGTTACGTGTGGCTGCTCTGGCAAATAAAGGCAGTAGATGGAAAACGACATGGCAGAATCTCCAATTAAGCCTGTAGATTTGTGGGTGTGTGGAGGTCAGAGATGGGGTCCAGCCTTCTCTCCAGCCTGATGGATGTTTAGTGTTTGCTTTAGTCATCTCAGTCTACTCTGCTGCGGGACTCTCCAAGCCTCCGCCTCGTCCATCCATACTAAAAGCCTTTTATGCTGGTAGTTATTCTTCACTTTGGCTCTTCTTTCAGCAGCTTCTGTCCTCTACAGCATGTTTTTGTTTCACTGTTAACCGAGCTGATTTACCTCTTCCCATTGGGTAAACACCCTGTTGCTAAGAACCCAGCAAGGATCAATGTCAACAGCAAGGCCGGCTGGGATGGGCTCCATGGTTAGGCCGGTAAAATGTGTTGCAGATATCAGACTTACTTTAAAAAAAGGAAATGGTGGCACTGGCATGCAGACCTAAAATGTACTGTTAAATGTTCCTTGATGTGTGAGAGATCCTGTGAATATCCATCCTTTGGTTACAGTGTCATATTGTAGTGTGATGTTGCTACATGCTGTGGTATGACAATTTAAAAAATATCACATGGTGATGGAAAGCTGATGCTTATCTTATTGGCTTTGGAGTATACATTGTACTGTTTCTTATTACAGTAAAATATTTATTTATAAGAGAACGCATTTCTGTCCCACGTCAGGTGATGACATTTTTTATTACCATTCCAGCTCTAACATCTGTCTGGGCCGTCTTGCTCTTCTGAAAGGAATTTCATTATTTGTTCTTCACCAAACTTGAACATTCTCTGTCTCCTTCAGCCGGAGGAAGTTACTTAGTTTTTCTAAGGCAGTTGACTCTCTTTTTTCTCTCTGATTAATAATCTCCTCTTATACCTTAAGCTGGGTGTCATTCTCCAAAATTGTATCCAACCTGTTGACCACCTGTCCAGTATCCTTTGTAGGCTCCAGATTTCCCCTCTCACTGTCCCAACAGGTCCTCATGATGTTGATACAGAGCCTTTCCTAAGACCACCTGGGGCCGCAAGCTCACAGCCAACCAATTCATAAGTAATACATAGTGCATCTAATAATTGCAGCTATGTTACGGCCAGGCTGGGTTTCCCTACTATCTGAAGCAGAAGTAATTGACTTGCTTCAATGATTGCAGAAAAACACTCACCTAACCCACAAAGGTAGGTCACATAGGTATAAAAGGCATAGAGGATTGCATGCTTTTGTGAATAATCTGGTTGTGTCCCCTCAGAAACATCTTAGAGGTAATGCCATGTTCATATATTTTATAGAGGTTTCTCAACCATCTTCTCAACAACTTGTGGGTTCTAGATCAACCCTGAAAGGGGGGGCTTGTAATTCTTCATCTTTCGTTTTGTTACTGTTACTTGTCCTCGGTGAAACAGAATGTTTGAGAGGTGTTCAGTTACAAAAGGGATGTGTTCAA